GAACCGAAAACCGAATCAAATCGTAAATCGAGTCAAATCGAAAAAAACCCGACTAGTGGTTTGGTTTGACTTGATTTGGTATTGGAAAAAAAAAAAACCGAATATTTTTGGGTTGGTTTGAATTTGGTTTGACTTGATTTGGTATTGGAAAAAAAAAACCCGAATATTTTTGGGTTGGTTTGGTTTAAACTAAAAAAAAACAACCTGAGACCAAACCAACCCGACATTATATATGTAATTTTAAAATTTTATTTTATACATAAAAATATTTACTTTGATATAATTTAAAAATATTTCTTATACTATTTAATAATTTTTATCTTTTAATATATTATTTCAGTTTAAAACTTAGAATTCGGAATGGTCCAATAAAGATTATAGTTCATAGGTGTGTTGATAATTATAATAAAACTTAAATCAAAATCAAATTAATACTAATGCAAAAAGGAATCAATTCAACACTATGAATGACAATAATATTGAATATTTGTTCTTTAGTTTTACATTGGTTTAGACAATTAAAATACATAATCTAATTTTAATTTTCCTTAAATATTTAGTAATGTAACTAATATTTATTAAACTTATTTTAGCATGATTTATTACTTTTAAATTATGATCATTTTCATTATGACTTTGCAATATTATTTTATAGGGATAAGGGTCTGAAAATACCCCAACTTTGGTCGAATTTGTTGTTGCGTTACTAAACTTTCATTATTATTTTTTATTGAATATTTTTGTTTCATCAGTACTCATCTCATATTTTGTGTTATTTTTTTAAGAAACACCTTAGATAATTACATTATGGTTGGACTAAAGAAATATTTGAGCACAAGTTAATTATATGTTTGTATGCAAACTTTACCGAAAAAATCTAAAAATCTGAAAAAATACGAGGTTTATTAGTTTGGTTTGATTTATGAATTTAAAAATTCGACACAATGGTTTGGTTTGGTATTTGAAAAACCCAAACCAACCCGAGGTTGAAAAACCCAAAAAAATCCGAATTTTATTAGTTTGGTTTGGTTTATAAATTTAAAATTTTTACACAAATGATTTGATTTGATATTTGAAAAATCCGAACCAACCCGATACTATACACCCCTAATCTTAAGTACACCGTACACAAATTTAGTACAATTTTAAATACAATATGCTAGAAACGAAGAATTGTCAAAAAAAATTGAAAGCAAATATATATGAAAATATACTGTATATTATTTTAGTCAAATATACTAGAAACGAAGGATTGTCAAAAACTCATACATTATTTTTAGTTTTAACTAAATCTATGGTCAAAATCTAGCTTAGTACTCCATTTAATATAATATAAATGAATTGTTGAAGAGTGACACCGATAAAAAAGATATTTAAAGTCATTAACCAAATAGTAATTTATCAATATAAAATAGTGTCAATAATTCGTCTATATTGAATTAGAGGGAGTAACCCACTCACTAATATGTCATTAGCTTTATCGTTCGACGTAGGAACATAGTCACAGAACATGATTTATGTGTGCTAAAAATAATATTTTACCATATCAACAAATAAAATATTTAACGTAGAAGAATAGTCACATAACATGATTTATTTATATGTGCTACAAATAAAGTTTACTGTATCAATTAACAAAATATTTAATGCATGAGAATAGTCACAAAACATGATTTGCATAATTAAAGATAGGAAAAAGACAGGAAATAGGAATAATTAGTGAAGCAATTAACAAAAAGTAGATGGTTACTCTTTCTTTTGCTCACATAAAGTTAATTTGAGATAATTAATTACTTAATTATTGCTCCTATCACTATACCTTCGAAGAAATTTGATAATTCATTGATTTAAAAAAAATTTAACTTTGAATATCAATAGATGAAAAACATGGCTAGTGCAACTTTCACTTATATTTGTAACTCCCACTATTATCTCATGTCTTTATTTTCTTTCAACCTAGTTAGTAATTAGTAGTTTGTTCTACGATTTATTTAGACAAAACTTCACTTACATATGGAACATTAAATATAAATATTGCTATGATTGATAGTACGTTAGTTTTCTTTCTTGTAAACATACAAAAACTTACTTACAAATGGTTTAAATTTCCATTTCCTTTCTGAAAAAAGGCCCAAAAATACTCTTTAGATTTATAAAAAAGACTCAAAAAAATTGATATATTTAAATATAAAAAGTGAGTACTAATATTTAATTTTAGATAGACGACTAAAAATAAAATTCAGCCACGTAACTAGACAGGGGGAGTAACAATTAATCATGTTAGATGGTTGCCATGTTTTATTAGTACTTACAGATAGATCCATTATTGTCCTTCGATTAGATACAATAATTCCATTAATTATGCTTAGTACACAATTCATATATACAGGGACTAAAATTGTTATTTTTCCCTAAAGCGATATATGCAATTGTGGAGAAGAAAATTGTTGCTAGATGACAAATATTTCAAAAACAAGAATTAATAAAAAGATAGCAACTAGGAAAAGTTAAGCTTTTTAATAAAGAAGAATAAGCAAGTGTAAGTAATTTGACAATCTAAATTTTTTTTCCACCAGCAAGCACATATTTTTCTTCTTTAGCAATTGGAGGCTATTAATATATAAATTAAATATATATAATGTCAAAAAAACGTTTTAATGTGAAAAAAAAAACGATTTGGTTAACTATGTTTTATTTGATCACTCGTTTGCTATAAATAGGTGAAGGAGGATAGACACTCCTCACCCCAAACAAAAGAAAAGAAAATTAAACAAGGTAAAAAGAATTCATAATGGCTGTTCACAAAGAAGTTAGTTCCCTTGCTTACCTACTTGTTCTTGGTAAGATTTGCCTTTCTCCTTTTTGTTGAAAAATTATATGCACAACGGGAGCATATCAAAATTATATTGTTTACACTTTCTTCTCTTTAGTTTCTTTGTTGAGGCATACACAATAAGTGTTACTAGTATATATGTTTTTTTCATTTCTCTTTCTCCTTGTTATATTTGTTTGTAGGATTATTGGTACTTGTAAGCGCGATGGAACATGTTGATGCGAAGGCTTGTACTTTAGAATGTGGTAATCTTGGCTATGGGATATGCCCACGTTCAGAAGGAAGTCCGGAAAATCCCATATGCACCAACTGTTGTGCAGGTTATAAAGGTTGCAATTATTATAGTGCTAATGGGACTTTCATTTGCGAAGGACAATCTGACCCAAAAAACCCAAAAGCTTGCCCCCGAAATTGTGATCCACATATTGCCTATTCAAAATGTTCCCGTTCAAGAGGAAAGACACTAATTTATCCCACAGGATGTACCACATGTTGCACGGGGTACAAAGGTTGCTACTATTTTGGTAAAGACGGCAAGTTTGTTTGTGAAGGAGAGAGTATTGAACCCAAGGCATGTACCCTGGAATGTGACTCTAGAGTTGCATACATGACTTGTCCATCTTCTGGATTAGCCAAGTTGAATCAAGTTTGTGTTAATTGTTGCACTGCAGGAGAGGGTTGCAAACTCTATGGATATGATGGATCTTTAATTTGTACTGGAGAGCCTCAAAGCTATATATCTACAACATAAGGCATCATCAATAATATGTGTTGTAGTTTTTAATTTATGTATGAAATAAAAGCATACACACACAATGACATGCTAATCACTATAATGTGGGCATCAAAGTTGAGTGTTATGTGTAACTACTTATTATATTTGAATAAGAGAAAAATATCATCCATAATTGAGGACTTAGCTCCTCTCTAGTGGTGATCTCCTTTGGTCTTATCCTTAATGAATGACATGTGTCTTTAATTATACTTTTTCAACGAATCAGATGCCTAATTCATTTACTTTTTAAATAAACTACCTTTGGAGTCAGGTAGACTTTTACCCGTCCATATCTTAAGCAAAAAAAATTGACAATGAAAACGGTCATTATTACACGAGGTGGAGCATGACCGTTTCCTTTATGTGGAATAATGACAATGAAAATCTCATCCTTATATAAAAAATGTCCAATGCATGTATAGGTTGCATAAGATATCCCTATCTAGAACAAGATAATCGTAAAAACATTTTGAGTAGCTTGCCCCTGATGGATATATAATAACACGTAGATTCTTATAAATCATGTCGAGAAATTAAAGTATCCTTTTTTTAACTATAATTTTGATATTCGGAAGAACATACATCTTGATTATATTATTCTTCAATTTAACTTTAACTTGTTTTGGTAAAGAAAAGACTATGTTTCTCCTTCACCACTCTAGTGTTGGCTAGTGCATCAGCCACGCTATTTCCTTCTCTAAAATAACAATCTTTCATAATCTTCCTTACTTACATAACAATGTTAGGATTTAATATAAAAATTCTTACCAGACATCAGATTATGTTACAAGTTATTTCAAAGTGAATGAATTTATAAATTTTCACACACTCGGAATACAATGTTAGTTTATGATTAAGGTATTCTGTTAATTTTTCATAATTTAGTTGTTTTCTCTTTTAAAAAAAAAAAAGAATTGGGACCACGGCATTATTAATTATTAAGTATAATAGAAGAAGTATGAACTATTATCAATAAGAGAAATATCCTATGAATTTTACACCATCTTACTCAAGAAAAAGCTTCTTACTCAAATAAATTTATCTAAATGAATGTGTATGTTCAATAATTTTTTCAGCTAATTTCCAAACAAGTGTACATACATATAAATCTATTACACGTAATGTACGTACGACGTTGATATATATATATTTGAATAATGTTCATTGACATTTGGTGCGATACTTTGATTACAATAATAATGTTGTACAAACTTTCCATAACGGTTGAAAGGTTCAAAGTCTTCCTTCAACAAGTTGCAGATTCTTAGATTGACTTAATTTCTACATGTGTTATTATCCTCAACCTCCACTAAAGTTTTATAATGGCTCTTTACAAACCATAAACTCTATGCAACAAATTCGATTAAAGAAAATCAATCCTGAATTATCCATATGAATGTAAAAAAAAAATTTACTATCAATATCAGTACTATTTATTTATTATAGCAGATTAGTTATCGGCTTTATTTTGTTATATAAATACCATAATCGTAGATTATATTTCCACGTGGAACTTAAATCATTTAATGAAAGCTTAATTTGGCAGAAAAAAATAGAGTCGTGTCGAGCTCTATAGTACCACGTGAATAATTAAAAGCCGCCGATAAATAATAAAGAAGCAAGTGTATATATGTACGCAACTTAGCAAGTAGAAGCAAAAATAATATAATACAAAAAAATTATCAATTGAGAGGGCTGTATGTAATATTTTTAAAATGTTTTAATTAGACAATAATGAATACATCTATCTTTTTTGTTTTTGTTCTATAAATAGGTAAGAGAAGGACAGACCTTTACCCAAAGAAAAAATAAGTTAATCACGATAAACTGATAAAGTATCTACAATGGCTCTTTACAAAGTTAGTTTCCTTGCTCACCTACTTTTTCTTGGTAAGATCTTTAATTCCCTTGTCCTTTTCCTCCTTCGTACTATCAAATTTCTTTATAACGATGTCATTTGTCTTGAATAATATAACATAAAATAACATGAAAACTAATTGTTACGGAGAAATATTGTTATAGATGATTATTGTTATAAATTAAAGAGCTTGTTCTAACGATATAACTTAATTATATTTGTAATTGTAGGAATGTTTATACTAGTAAGCAGGGTGGAACATGTTAATGCTTGTACGAAAGAATGTGGTAATCTTGGCTATGGGATATGCCCAGGTTCAGAAGGAAGTCCAGAAAATCCAATTTGTACCAATTGTTGTTCGGGCTATAAGGGTTGCAACTATTATAATGCTAATGGAACTTTTATTTGTGAAGGAACGTCTGATCCCAAAAATCCTAACACTTGCCCCTTTTATTGTGATCCACAAATTGCCTATTCAAAGTGTCCCCGTTCAGAAGGAAAGACGATAATTTATCCCACGGGATGTACCACGTGTTGCACAGGGTACAAGGGTTGCTACTATTTTGGTCAAGAGGGGGAGTTTGTGTGTGAAGGAGAGAGTATTGAACCCAAGGGTTGTACTCAAGAATGTGACCCTAGGGTTGCTTATATGACTTGCCCATCTTCTGGATTGGCCAAACTTAATGAAGTTTGTGTTAATTGTTGTACCGCTATATATATATATATATATATATATATATATATATATATATATATTATGCTATTCCTTTAACATAGTATAAAAGTCAAATTTAATTCAATTTATTATTTATACGATATTAATCCCCGTCTTATATTGCTCGTGTTTCAAGTGGTGAAAGAATATTGAATTCCACGTTATGTTAGGTTAGATTCAGATCCATTTATTTAATATTTTATCACATGTATCCTATTTTTTTTCATTTAGAAATGTTTATTGCAATAATATTTTTTTAAAAAAATAATTGATTAACCATCCACGAAATTACCTGCCTATGTAGCCTTACAAATCCATCGGTAATCATATCTACCATTTTCCTTGATTATTGGATTGGAGCTATACAGATGAATAACATAAAGATTTTAGTATAATTCGTAGTAATCTATTCTAACAGATTAATTATTATTTTTATTAAGCTATCAATTAATTATTATCTCCAGTTGACGCAAAAAAAAAGTTATTGAAAATTCAATGGCTACAAAGAGCATTGGGAATATCTAAGTTTTCTATTTTCTCGGTCTCAATTTATGTTTTACCATTGAAATTTCAAGATTCCTTTTTTTAAAATTAACCAACCTGTAGATTTCACATCCAAAAGGACAAAATGACATTTACAAGAGGTGGATTTTAATTTGTCCAAACCTCCATGAGATACAAAGAGGATGAATAATTCATCCTTGAATTAGTTTGAACATGAATGTATTGGCCTTTGATATGTCTAATCCTGAGACATGAGAGTCCAATTCGATCATTCTTTCCAAAATGGCACATCAAATTTTTTTTAAACAAAAGGGTAAAATCGCTCTTGACGAAGCGATTTCCCTCTGACACAATATTGACGCCATTACTCCGTTAAAAAAGGGCAGCGATTTTGTCCAAAAAAAAATTTCTTTTTTTTTCACTAAAATCCCTGGCACAACAGCGATTATTTAAGTCCAATTTTTTTTCTCCAACTAAAATCGCTGCTATGGCAGCATTTTAATCAAAAAAATTCATGAAAATCGCTGCTTTGGCAGCTTTTTTATTAATTTTTTTTCAAAAAAAATCGTTGTCTTGGCAAGGCAGCTATAGAGATTTCCCATATTTTTCAACCCCAATTAGTTGGAATTTCAAGAGTCAATCATGTTTTATTTATTAAAATTTATTTTTGTCTTTTAAATTATTAATTATTGTAATTTATAATACATTTTCATAGTTTTCAAATATACATATTTTATTTTAAAAAAATTAAAGATTCTATGTTATTTGTTGGATCCCGTATCGATGGGTTTAAAGGTATTTGGTCTTCCCTTGGACAGCCCCCCCCCCCCCCCCCCCCCTCTCCCTCATGAGTTAATTTTATTGGGTTGAGTTAGGCTCAAGCCCATCTCGAATAATTGTTTGCTTGATGTTGAGCTCTCATTTTATATTTGGGTTTCTTAAGTAACTGTACATGCAACAACAAAAAATGTCAACAAAATGGTCATATGTATATGCACTGTATCGATATTGTATAAATAGTGTATAATTATATATAAATAATAGTATATAACTATGCATTAGATATGTATATACATTCATATACGTTGTTTATAAAATATATATACATTAAAACAGTTCAACTACCTTAACGAGTTGATTTATTTCCAATAAAAGCACGTAAATATTATGTGTTATAGTTATGCAAAAATCTAAGATATATATTTAACCTTCATATATATTTCGAAATTTGTCACATATATGCCATTGTAAAACCTGACCTCTCTAATCAGAAAATTGGAATGCAATATATAATCACATGGTTAAAGTTTCGAATAGTTATAATAATTTAGTTAGTTAGACCTAAGGTCCTAAGTACTTATACTTTTGATATTATTAGTATCTGCAGTTGACAAAATTTTTTATTGATAATTCAAATGGCTACAAAGAGCACTGGGAAAAGCTAAGATGCTAAAAGTGTTTAGTTTAAATAATTAAGGTGATTAGTCCTTTGCTTTTAGAGGGGAAATAAGTGCTTTAAAATACTTGAATATGTTATTTTTTAGAAGCGGAAAAAATATTTCTTTGCCAATTGCCCGAATCATTTTTGGAATATTTATCAAGCCCGAATTACTGCAGAATATTGATAGATGTATTTTTGTAAAATTGATCAGTCAAATACAAACAGCTGTTCAATTTTGCCTTTTTTTTTGTTTAATTTGATCACTCGTTTGCTACCGATTGAGGAGACTGTATATTGATGTTAATTAATTAGGTATAATAATGAAGAGATTTTGCCTATTTTTTGTTTAATTTGATCGCTCGTTTGCTATAAAAAGGTGAAGGATGATACACACTCCACACCCCGAAATTAAAAGAAAAC